TTTGTATCACTTGTGACGTCATCAATTCAAATCTCACCAGATGTTCTTGATAAGCAGATGGTAGAGCTAGAATAGATCTATCCGCACAACAGACTGTTTTGGATAAGAAATAGAATTGCTGCTATAGTATAGCTAGTTACTTATTGGTTGCGACAGTGTTAGCAAGAGCGCCAAAATGCCTGAGGCTTTCACTGGGACGCGAGCCATAAAGCATGCGCTAGAGTCGATATTTATATATATATTTTTACTTTATTTTATATCCAAGGCTTGTTAACCACAGCTGCCCTGCCTTGTTACCATAACAACAAGTTCATTGGTGTAGTGGGGACAGATATTAGCCTGGAAAGTATTGAATCCCAAATATCATACTTCCAAAAAGGTCAAGCTAGTTATGCTTTTATGGTAAATAGTTTTGGAAGGGTCATGATCCATCCTCTTCTGTCAGCCCCTTCAAACGCCTTTGAGGCCCCCATTTCTATGGACATAGCGACATTGGAGCCCGAACCAGAGTTCGGTGACGTACTTGCATCCATTGTAAGGTTGGTCTCTACGTTGCATTAATATACATAAAAAAGCATCCTGCTTTTACAATGATATCCATCACTTTAAAATTATGAGAAAAAAGTTTTTAAAATCATGTACGACAATATCACCTGTGATAAAATTGCAATCCCGCCGATACCGGAGGGATGAAAAATCCTTCGGTAATGTTTCGGTCAACATTGACATTCGCTCTACGACCGAATATTAACGAACATTACATCCGTCTAATATATTGAGTCCCCTACAATATATTGTATTTTTTTTTCTTAAAGGGGTGGAGATGGACAGAAAACGTTTGTGTCAAAACAATTTCTAGCGCAAGGTGGCAGAGTAACAGATGGAGTTTTAGTTGTGGAACTCAATTCAACGTACCATTGGAAATCTGTTCCGGAAACCAGCTTTACTATTGGAATTGTAGTTCCTGTGGGCGATAGGGACGTTGAACTAGCAGAACAAACAAGAACTTCGAGTATGTAAAATTTTAACTTTAATTATGACTACAAACATGTACGGTACAAACTGCACACCATACCAAGCTTGTGTTCACACATTCAGATGGCCAGAAATAATAATAAACTATGAACCACAGGTTTCAATTTTATAATTAGGCAATGAACTGGAGGTTTTCGGTCGAGGAACTATGGACTGATAGTTGCCCCCATGGAAATTTGATGTTCTTAAAACAAATATTTGCCCGAGAAGCGAA